GCAAGCCGGCTCTTTCCGCTTTCCTTGGACAACTGCGTGAGCGACACACTGCTCTCTTGAGAGTAGATGCACGTAGTTTACCAGGAACAAAGTCGAAAGATGCAGTCAGAGCAATGGGTATGATAACTTCTACAAAGGCGGCCAGGATTTTCAACAAGCTTCCCTGTGGAGCGCGAAGTGTGGCCACACAGATCCGCTCAGGCCACTTCCCTACTGCCTAGTCTTACCGATTCCGATTCAAACTGTATGACTCACCACTTTGCAGCAAGTGCAATGAAGTAGACAGTATCACACACAGGATTTTCAGATGTAGTTAAATTCGATCATGCAAGATTATCGTTGAGGAGGAGGATATATGGATTGGAGTTAAGGTTCAAGATGAAATATATGCTTTCAAATGAAAAAGCTCTTATAACTCTCTACGAGTTCTTCAAACACCAGCTCAGCACCCACCCATGCACCTCCGGTAGCTCCACGTAGTTACCTCCCAATTTACGGTGCACGTGCCAAGAACCGCATCCCTTTGAGTCACTACAATCGTCAGCTTTCAATGCACAAGAAGTATAGATAGGCTAAGATTATTAATCGTTGTAACGTTTTTGACTATATTATAATTTCTATCTATCTATCTAAAAAGGAATCGTTTAAATAGATTAGATTTGGGGTCTTCTCATTGTTCTCACTAAATGATGATGATGGTGAAATCTGATTATATTGTTAGGACGATACATGTTCAAGCTGCGTTCATCAACACTTCTTAAAGCATGAAGAGTCAAATGGGGTGCTGACTTTACTGGAAGCGTTTCTTGACTAGCATCGTAATTTGTAAATTGTTGGTGGTTTTCAATTACACTGAGCCACCATTTTGTCTCATGTCACGCCGAAACGGCAATTGATCTGTTTTATACAAAACTTTTGGAATATATCTGAACTAGAACATAAGAAGTTCAGCATTGATGGGGTAGTGGTAACCTCGATCGTTCCCACTAGGAAACTTGATCGGCCCCGGGTTCGATTCCCGGTTGATGCAATATTCTTTTTTTTTTGCATCTTTCTGCATCGCGAAAGTACAACCTAAAATAATTTTAATTAAACAGTCTGCTTCATAATGAAGTAGCAGTCGAAAGCATGTCTGAATACATTAAAATTTCTGCAGTTCATAGTAACCTTATGCAGATGACATACAATCTTCTGTACAAAAATGTATGCGCATTGTGCTAGCACAACAGCCAAAAGGTTCTATAACTCAAATGTATGACAAACAAAGTTGACAAGAGGAGTTCAATAAGGTGAAGCGAAAAAGTATTGAGAAGGGTATCCAAGCTGATGGTTAGTGTATATAATTAATGTGTAAAATGGGAACTACTCGTCAAGGTCACCGTTCTCGTCGACGGCTCTCTCGACCAACTGGAGGACGCCGTCGTCAGCGAGAGTCTGCTCGACGGGGCTTTTCTCTAAATCGGGACGAATGAGGGAGGAGTGGAGGCTGCCGGCTCTATAAACGAGCACAGTGGGTAAAATGTCTGGGTCTGGTACGCCATGAGCATCGAGACCGAATTCCAATGTTGTTGCTTCACCCGAGAGGAACTTGGTAGAGGTGTAAACCTGAGCCAAGCTAGCGAAAGAGTATTCTAAATCGACGCAAGCTTCAATAGACTGGAGATGGGTGTTAGAATGAATCGAGCCTGTACACACCACACCAAACCCACATTATCCTTAATGAGAATAACCACAAAGACATCCTCTTCCTCGTCGTCGATGGCAGTGATGTACGTGTTGGCATCGACCTTTCGCAAATGACCAAAGACACGAACACCACCAGTAGAGGCCATTTTGAGCTGCCTAATACGTGTACGTCTGTATGACTCGCGAGCCTGTCTCTCTGAGTCATCTGTATCACTCTCGCTTTGTGACATAACCAGTGCTTTCGATTTGAGGTAATCCGATTTAGCTTTCTCATCGGTGAGGCTGGATAGAGACTGTTTCTCTTCATGGATGCGTGCATCCTCCTTGACACCCTTTGCGCCGGTGCGAGGGCCAGTGCGCTGGCTTTGAGCATTGCTGGCATCCACATCGTCGTCATCGCTAGCTTTTTCAGATTGGCCATCACCTGCGCTCTTCTCGTCGTCATCGAAGCCATCCTCATCGTCTCCATTCGCTCGCTCGTTAATTGCAAGGCCATTGGTAAATAGGCGGCCGCTGAGTACAGCTTCTTCGAGAGCGTCTGCCATTTTTGGGTGGTGTTCGGCGGCGTTGCGTTATCGCGCTGTAAGAAGAATCTCTGTGCTTCGCAGAATGCCGGCGTGCACTGATGGGTCACATTTTTTATTCCAATGAATAATACAAGCGATATAGATGCATTCTAAACCTGTCCCACTTTCTTTATTTTTGAGAGATCAATCGACTGTCCAAAGTTCCTTTCGTAAAATGCATACAAGACTTGGGCGACGCGTGCAGGATCGTCCTGGGTGGAGTGTGAGTGGAGTATGAGAGCATTATAAACACGCTCACCTCCTGAAGACAATGCCCGACATTCTGGATGACGTTGAGTTGGAATTTTCCCTGCATCTGAGCAATCATAAGCGGCGTATCTAGTTTATCAGCCCCGGCGAGAACGAGCAGCTTGGAAGGTTTAGCTGCAATGAATTTGTTTGAAAGCCCTTTAAACCAGTCTAGTGGAGTGAGTAAGTGTGAGTGTGAGTGTGAGACATGCATTATTCAAACACCACCCACTTAACCAGAACGGCTCGGTCTTCAGCAAGTCAGTCCTCCATATCCATTTCCCCTCCCTCTCTACCACCATTGAAGGTACGGACAGCCTAGCTGATTCTGTATTGCGAATTATCTTGTGATGGATATGCCAAACAATAGCATCGCTCAACGACGAGAATGAGGCTGGATTACCTTTCAAAATCCCCGCCATTGCCGGAAGTGCTTCAATAGCCGTGCCTTCTACTGCATCCAGTATGCATAGCCCGATGACTTCACCGATACGCTCCGAGACGGGTGCGACTGCGTGCGCACACACGCTCCCGCCCATGCTATGACCGGCTAGAATGAATTTATTCTTGTGGCTCCCAGTAAACACCCTCTCAAGAATGCTAGTGAGGTCATTTGTGAGTGTATCGAGTGACAAATCATACTCGTCGAATTCATCACCGTCTTTTATACTTGTCTTGCCTGTAGCGGTAGATCAGAAGAGAAGGTAGCATCAAAACCCACACCAACCCACCATGTGCGCGTGCGTCGAAAGCAAGCGTGCCCACTCTCCCCCCACTAAGCCGCCACAGTTCTTTTGCAAGACAGGCGAAAGATAGTCCAGCATAGCCAGCGCCTTGGTGGAAAACAAAAACAGGACTGTCGTGCTGTGGTGGAGTGTAGTACACGCGGAACACACACCCCGGCGTCGTCTCCACTTGCAGTGCTTCGCTGAAGTACCCTTGGCCGCTGAGTGGGGTGTATTGGGTTGGCGTCGTGCGCGTCGTGTTTCTTCCGCTGGGTTTGTGCTGCGAGTTAGCGTTTGTGTCATGTTTATCACGCATAGCAAACATCGCTGCCGCTATCACACTAACCCAAGTACTCCGAGCCCGTCGGCAGCCTCGTCTGTTTCATCTTGCTGCGCGTCAATGTCCTCTGACAATTTTGACCATTTCGCTGCCAATTCTTTTTGCATTTGTGACATAATCGGTTGGATGATATGGTTGATAAGGAGAAGGAATCGTCGGCTTAACGAAAAGCAAGTCAGAATAAAATAAAAGATAAAACACGTTTTCAAATGAGTTTAGAAGGGCGCTCGGGGATGCTCGCATATCCACACGCCACGCGCCATACGATACAACCACTCCGCCTCCCATCAAAGGACAACCGTGCCTTCGATACACCCCATCACACTCCCACCAATCCAAATGTCATCGCCGTCTTTCGTCACGCTCACCAATCCCTTTCTACCGAGAGCCGTGCCTTGGGAGTTCAAGTAGTGAGCAGGTGTTTCATTTTTCATCCACATAGCAATCCCTGCGCTGTGAGTGATGGTGATAGTGATATGTGCGAGTTGTGTAAGCTGCATATACGTATAGTGATAAGTATTTAAAAACCCACTTGAGTGACCCAGTAACGGGATCCTCGCCCACATCGTAAGCGAAACCGCGCACTTCGAAAGTAGCCTGAGAGTGTCCAGCCGTGTGCTCGCCAAATATACCAAAGTAGAGGCCGTCTATTGCGCCTCTATCGGACAACTTGGCATCAAGGACGATATCCGCGTTATGCAATCGCAGTGCAAACCACGGCGGTCCGTTATCGATCCACTTGGCGTCGACAATATCATCCCTGCTGATGCTAACGCCTCTGCACACTCTATCGAGCAGCTCGGCCTGCACGTCTGCGAACCGATTCAGAGGCGGTGCCTGGAAGGATATGACATCGGAGCGCGCATCCCACCGCAGCTGCAATACCCCAGCGGCGCATTCCTGGGTAAGGCTGCCGCCTCTGTCAGCAATAGCCCGGCGCTGCTCGGGCGACAAGGCGTTAAGATACACATGCGCAGTGCCCAGCGTCGGGTGGCCCGCGAAGGGTAGCTCGCAGGCGGGTGTGAATATCCGCACGCTGTAGTCGGCTTTGTTGGATGGCGCGAGGAACGTCGTCTCGCTGAGATTCGTCCAGTTGGCGAATCGCTGCATCGCGCCATCGTCTGTAGCTGTACCCGCGGTAAGGCTAACCACTGCTAGCGCGTTGCCGCGGTATGGCTCGTCGGTGAAGACATCCACTTGGTTGAATTTATGCGTCGTCATCGTGAGCGCTGGTTCGTGGTGGTGGAGAGCACGATCGCAGTGCCATATACCACTTTTTATAGCCCTGGCACAGCTCATATGACTCATGTGCCCCATTCTCCTCTATGCTCAGAACCATCAGCAATGCGCTAACGCGAAATGTCAAATTGCAACCGCAGATAGATTTTGAAGCTAAATTGATCAATGGTGTAGCCATCCTCAGCGGCAGAAATGCATTTGGGCAGCTGGGGAGAGCGAGAAGGCAGCGAGTGATCGAGCCGACGGCGATACAAGTACGCGCAAGAGAAGCAGTGACATCCACCCACACAAGTCTCTCCAATGTCTATCTGACCACACACACCTCGGTACTCAGCGCTGGACTGAACACGGATAAGCAACTCGGTCACTCGCCCACCCACCCGCTTAGCGAGTCTTTTGAGCAGGTGGAATGGGATTTCATGGCTCAGGGTGGTGTCAGACAGATGTCCGCAAATGGTGACTCTGCGGGTGTGCTCACTAACGACGGCCATGTCGTTGGTTGGGGCAATTCCGAGTATGGGGGGCTGTGCCTGGTGCAAGAGACTGGCGTTGAACCTTTGCTTCTGTCGCCATACCTAGACACAGCTGGATGTCGCTACGTGCGCAGGATTTCCTTCGCTGGTGCCCATTCATGGTTTTTGGATGAATGTGAGTCGCTTTTTCTTCACTTTCTCTTCTCTTAGAAGGATGCAAACAACCGCAGAGGCCAGCTGAGTTGCTAGATTTGCTAGATTTTGCTAGATTACCATTTCTGAGCGACGATGACGTGAAGCACTGCAAATTTCATGTCTGATAGTCTGCAGATCTGAAAGTGTTAGTCTAATCACCCCCTCTGACATCCATTAGCAGGAGATATCTACACGGTTGGACTGCATCTGATGGACGGCAAGGTGGTGATCACTCCCACACCATCCAAAGTCGCACTACCCTGCAAAGCAATCAACATATGGTCAGGTGTGCACCACTCTATCGCCCTTCTCGAGGATCGGAGGTTGTTTATTAGTGGGCCACAACTAGACAGCTTCAACGTCCTCATTAGTGAGGGTGAAGATGAATCCACACTTGAACACCTCGCAGCAAACAACAAACTCAGTATGACATTTGGATTGAATGGTGTATCGTTGCATGGCACGTAGCATAGTACACATGGATCATGACTTAAAGTTCATAGTACATGATACATGACAATACACATAACATAGTACACAACATAATATACATATACATTATCACACACTCTCTATTCCAATAGCACATTTAGGTGGGTATTCCAGTTGGTCTGCCAATCGGCGTCGGCCGAATGAGCGAGATAATCGCGCAGGTTCGACAGTTTATTCTTGCTAGCGAGGAGGTCCTGTGAAAGGGGAAGAAAAGTGTGAGCAGATTACCCCTATATAACTGCACAACCCACCACTAATTGCCCTCCGAGCTGGGTGCCACTCTCGAAAGTAAGACCATTGACGCCATCGACGACGAGTTCGTGGAGGCAAGCAAAGTTAAGCGCACAGACAGGCAATCCAGCGCCGAACATATCGACTACCTTCATCGGGAGATCTAACCCGGATGAGCTGGAGTGAAAAGAGAGGCCTAGATGAGCCGCGCCAAGAAGCTTTGGGTAGTCATGAGGCTCGAGCCAGACGGTGCACACTCTGACACACTTCCAAGTCTTCTCTAGATGGTGAACGCGTTTTTCAAACTCCTGTTTCAGTGGTCCCCTGCCTGTAATAGCGAGGAGAATGTTGGGGAGTTGGCTATTACCACTGCTCGCCTTTGCCTTTTCGTATGTCTCTAACGCCGAGAGGAGCATGTCAAAGTCTTCGTCGGGTGTCCAAGATGTGCTGGTAACGAGGAGAGCTGTACGCACGTCTGTATCGCTGCTGGAGGGATGGAAAGCTGGGTCATCTGTGAGATTGAGGCGGGAGAGTAGCTGTGAGTGGTGTGAGTGAGTATGGCTTGATACCACCACGCATGGCCACTTACACTCCCCCTCTCCGTCAAGGAAAGGCGTTTGAACGTACTCAATGGTTTGTCGTGTAAGGTGAGTTTCTTCCCGCTGCAGCAGTTGTGAGACAAAAAAGTAAAAATTTTCACACTACCCACGTCAGTCCCCACTCATAACTCAATTGAATCCTCATAGCGTGTGTAACGAACAAGTGCACATCGGCAACTTTTCCAGCCACCCTCTCTATACACATGGACAGGCGAACCAAAGGGTGTGCCTTGCCCCACTTCAATGCGAGGAGGGAGAAAGCAGTATTGTGCCAGTCAATGATGATGCGTGTGCCAGTGATAATTCTGAGTAGTTGAGCGACGACGAGTGTTGGAATAGCCGGTGGAGTCTGGAAGAGTGTCCACATGGGAATCCTTTTAGAAGCCAAGAAGAGGGAGAGAAGGGAGAAAGTTTGAGTGATGATTCTAGTAGCCATTCGCTGGTTAGAGGGAGTGTCTATTGTGCACAATTTGACTCTCTTATTCTGCAGCTGTTCGATGGGTGTTGAGCCTTTGCAGCGCGTGTAAGGTAAGAGACAGGCACAAACACAGCACCAACCTTTATAGCCAACCAACATTACGTCATAGCCATTATCCAACAAGCTCAGCGCGTGGTACATACTCCGCGGACTCCTGCCGACATCCCCGAGGACGACAACTGCTGCGAGATGGCAATCGACGCGCTGCCTATAAAGGAAAGCAAGAGATAAAAAAGTAAAAATGAAAATAAAAATGAAAACGCAGATGATTAAGAACATGGTGGTATCAGATAAAGCCATTGCCAGTGAGAAACAACCATGGCACTCGTTATCGTAACTGGTCTACCAGCCAGCGGGAAATCTACACGCAGCACACAGCTTTATAATTATATTCAACCGCGATTGGGCGAGATAAGCGAGCAAAGCCAGGGAACACTCAAAGGACGGAATCTCAATGTTAGAATCGTTAGCGAGCATGATTTTGACTTGGATAGAGATATTTACAGAGATACACGCCTAGAAAAACCAGCCAGAGGTGCTATATTCGCAGCAGTTGAACGCTACCTCGATAAGAATACTATCGTTATATGCGATGCACCGAATTACATTAAAGGGTTTCGTTATCAGCTTTATTGCACAGCGCGTGAAGTTGGTGCGTTGAATTTGACACTATGGACGCTAGCCAGTACAGATCAGGCGAGGCAGCTCAACAATCAGAGAGAGGATGGATATTCGAGCGAGGTGTGAGTGTGGATAAAGCTCTATCACAACTTGAACCAACCCCTCACACCCATCCAGCTTCGATCAACTCGCTTTCAGATATGAAGAACCAAACGGTGCAACTCGCTGGGATCAGCCACTCATCAGTGTTCTTCTCGAGGATGAATCAATCAACTACACTCAACTACTCAACATTTTAACAACTCAGAAGCAGAAAAAGGTTAACATTGGCGTCATGACCATGCCAGCCACTGCTGCAAACTACTTACAAGTCCTCGAAGCTACAACTACGCAGGTTTCATCTGCCATCACATCCGCCTCAGCTGATAACGCTGGCGTTGGCGGTAGTGTTACCATAGCTCTTCCAAAAGACTTACTCCCCTTGCCCCAGAAAGATTTCTCTGACCCACACCGCCCAGTAATAGATCTCCCCCTCAAACAAATCACTCCGGCGCAGATGAATAGATATAGGCGTGCTTTTGTTGGCTTGCATAGAAATGATAAGGCGATTGATGCAAAGTCTGTAGCTGGTCTCTACATACTATTTATCCAAACGACGTTGAGTGCGTAATTATACTTTTAAATGATATAATGAAATACTTTACATGATTCCGTGGTATAATATTATAAATACGTCCTTCTAATAATTCTCGCGTGGATCAAAACAATGTCTCACCAAGTCATCATACACCTGCACGTCTTTGTTAGCTGCACAGGTTTGTATCCTCTAAACCCCCACTCACGTCCTCGGGTATATCTCTCACTAACGTTACTGCAATGCTGATGATAGGCTGAGCGTCTAGCGGAGGAAACATTCTAAGCAGCTTCATTGGGCTGCTAGTGGCCAAAAGGTCATCGCGCATGAGTAGAACCTGCGCAATAACGCAGAGTACATTCATATGCGGTCCGAAAGCGAGCAGGAAGTCCCACAGACAGAGTACCTGGTCTAAGGGCGGAGTACAAGCGCTGAGGGTGAGAACGGCTGCGAGTGTTGTGTGAGGGGTGAGTGAGAGTGGCGTGTGAGCACCGTGAAAAACCAACTCACACGGAAATGCATATATCTCAGCTGTGAGGTTGTGTCTACGCAGATGTGAGTAGAGTTTAGCGTCAACGATCTGCAAGCACTTGTCCACCAATCGCAGTCCCCGATGGACGCCCTCCAACGTCGGCAAGACGTAAAGTGGACAAGTGAGTTCGATGAACCTGGCAAAGCAGTTGAATGCTTCTAGCTCCGTTGGCTGGACATAGAGGAATGGTGCAGCTAAGACATTCATCCCTTGCACATAAAGACTCTCGCCGTCACCTCTCTCTTCCGTTCTCCAAGCAAACGCGTCCAACAGTCTAATAAGCTTCTGCTCGCCGACGCAAGTTTGAAAGTCACTGTCTGATTTAAGCGTGCGTGACGCATCGTTGCGTATCTTATCGGCAACGGGACTCCTCCCCCTGCTCACTAATCTGAGGAAATCGTGGCTGCTCATGTCGTGTACTTTAAGAAGCAGCTTCCACACCAGTGGGCGTAGGTTCGGCGGCGATGTTGGTATTCCATAGAGCACAATCAGCCTGCGCAGCTTCTTGAGCTTCTCCTCAATCTCAATATCAGATACGCGTTCTGTGCGCTTCACTGATGATAGCAACTCATTGTACTTGTTGCGCTCTTTCGAAACTCGTGCGTGCGCGTGTGCGTCTGTTCCCATCGCAGTTGGTTCGAACCACGAAGGCTAGTAAATTACTTGCGCAAACACTATTAAATTGCTTATCGGATAAAAATTACAAAAAAAATGCCAGAACATCTCACAACACTCAAAGATAACTCTACAGTGGCCTACAACGTCTTCAACGAGGATGCCACCGATAAGATTGCACTGGTGTTGATCATGGGCATGACGGGATGTATGCTCGACTGGCAAATGTGGGCGGAGGCCGTCGCCAAAGCAGGCAATCGCAAAGTCGTCATCTTCGATAACCGCAATATCGGCAATAGCCACGGCAATATCGATGGCTTATCCGTGGATAGTATGGCACTAGACACGATTGAACTGATCGAGCAGCTCAACCTTAAAGACGTCCACCTGTTGGGTTTCTCAATGGGCGGTATCATAGCACAGCAGATGCTGCTCAATCACTCCCCTCTATTCACTATCCACAAAATTATTCTCTCTTCCAGCGCATGCAGACGCCCTAAACTGTCTCACATAGATATGTCCTCCTTGGAAGGTGCACAAGCATTCAATCTGATTCTGTACGATGAGGAGTGGGTGAGTAATAACAAAGCAATCCTCGCTGTTATCAAGGAAGCCAGCAATTACATGCGCAGACCGTTTGAAACCCTCCAAGCTCAATTTAAGGCGTTGTCGGCCATGGAATTGGGCGAGAAACTCAAATACACCGACTGGACAAACAGACTTTATGTAATGCACGGTAAACGCGATGCTATCATTAGCTTTAAAGAGGCTGAACACACTCTTGAGATAGCTAAAGGTGCCAAGTTGGTCAACACCCTTCCTACCCTCGAATATGGCCACTTGTTCTGGGCATACTTTGATCCAAAAATCTGGTCGGATGCTATTGAAGGCTGTCTGGGAGAGAAAACCGAAGCGAAATTGTAGATCTCTTCATTTAGCTTCCTAACTTTCATTTTATTTTGTTTCAGAAAGAAAATCAGAAAAGTAAGATCATCATAGATTAATTGACGTCATGACTGAACAACGAGTTACACTGAGCGACAGAAGCGAGTTGGCGTACAACGTATTTAATGACAGCGCAAACAAGGTCCCACTCGTTATGATCCACGGCATGACCGGGATAAAGAATGATTGGACCGGCACAGCGGTAGAAATGGCTAGGATGGCCAACAGGACTATAGTGACACCTGACAACCGCAATATGGGCAATAGCAAAGGGGATGTTAAAGGGATGACTATCGATGTCATGGCCAACGACATGATTGAGCTTGTCGAAAGGCTGGGATATGAAACAGTGAACTTGCTAGGATTCTCAATGGGAGGTAGATTGTTGTTCTTTTGCAAGCCCCGCTCACAATGCATCTAGGTATGATTGCCCAGTATATACTTTTCAACACCACCCGTAAATTCCATGTAAACAAGGTAATCCTTGCAGCCAGCTCTATACGATTCCCGCCAACAAAAGTCCTGCCTAACAGCATTGAAACATTCCAGTCATTCGTAGCTGCTGGATTTGACCCGGAGTGGAGGGATAGCCATCCAAATGAATTGAATGAGTTTCTTGAGTCTTTCAATCATCCTCAAAGACCATTGGAAACTATGCAAGCCCAAGCTAGGGCGATAGGTGGGCAAGATACAACAGAAAAGCTGAAAATAGGTGATTGGACTGATTTAATATATGTTTTGCACGGAAAGAGGGATGAGCTACTGACATTTGCCTTGGCTGAGCATGCGCTTTTGACGGTGAAGGGGAGTAAGCTGATTAATCTCCATTCGCTGGAGTTTGGCCATTTCTTCATCATGTATTTTATGCCGAAAGACTGGTCTGATGGTGTTGAGGAGTGTTTAGGCGAGTAAATGGAGTAGATTATTTGTACTGATATTCATGAATTCCCTAAATTCAACCAAATTTTACCAAATTTTCTTTGTTTCACTTTTACCACCACCGATGACAAGCATTCTAAATCTCCCCGATGAGCTTATTCTAGAGATACTGAGCATTTCTGATAAGAATCTACACTACACGTGCAAGTTGCTCCTCGCAATCGGCTACACCATGCACCACTCAACGCTCGAATCGCCCCCACGTGTAGCGATTACCGACAACAAAGTAGAAAAATCAACAGACAGAATGAGAGCGTGAGGGAGTATTGAAGGGTGCTTGATAGCTTCATGAAAGACACCATCAAGACGCAGACTGTGAGGTATACAGTCCATAGCGCACAGCTCACACAGCACTACAGCCGCATCAATCTCAACTTAGCACATTTGGTGCGGATAAAAAGCGCACAGCAGACGCTGCATTCCTACCGCACGCCATTCCTCACCTCTCGAATCTCAAAGAAGTCACACTCACACTCGGCCACTTCAAGTCGGTTCGAGATTGCGATGTCTTGGGTAGCTCTAAGAGTGTCAAATACCTCACAATCATGATCGAAGTCATCAAATCGGATGACGCTAATTTAATAGCACGGGAACTATGCGACCGATATTCAAACATAGCACAACTGAACATATACCGCTACGAGAATGCCTACAGAGGTTTCACACCGCCGAAAAAGAAACGTTTCATGGTGGCTCTAGAATACGCTCTACGACACACTAACCCACTTCCACATCTCAAGACGGTACTCTTCAAGTATTATGAAAGGCACATGGAAAACACGAAGCAATCTTGGGTCATGTGCTATTGCGACCATTTTGACGAATTTGTTGTGTTCTAACTTTCCGGCAAGAAAGCGTTCAAGGAGATAAAAGACATGAAACGCATTGTGGAGGTTTTGGCTGGGTGCCACACCAACCACGCCTTTCAATTCGATGGAAGTGTGTTCGAACTACTCAAAGCAATCAGTAGACAGTTACAAGAGGAATACCACACGAGTAAAGAGTTCAACACACACATAACTCCCGATGTGTTCCACACTGCTTTGCTAAGTGTCATATCTAATTACAGACCAAATCACGAACCTAATTTGAGAGTTATGCTGGAGGCTACTAGCGAAATAGATGAACTAAATGACTTCGATCTTGTTCTTGAAGAAATTTTCTTCACTGCGATCGGTACGGCACGCATCGGAGGGTATTTTTGAGAAGGTGGTGAGTTTCTAGTGGTTATTCGGTGGGATGCTGATTGCATGTTTTCACTATCAAGAATGTAATTCAATTTAATGCTTCATGCACACAAGCCACATCGTCATAAATCGCTTCAAAAAAACGCCCATCATGTCAGTAAACAGGCTCATCTCAAGACTCAACAAGACGCTTTATTTCGAGCTCACAGATGATCGCACAATATTTGGTCAATTCACGCTAATCGATAAGGAGAAGAACGTGATAGTGACGAACGCGCGCGAAGTAACAAACTCGACGCATTTCCAGAGCGAACTGAGCGATGAAAATGCAGTGGACGCAGACGCTCCAGGCGAGCGTTGGGTGGGTATAGTGATGATACCAAGGCATCGAGTAAAGGCCGTCTACGAATGAAACCATAATTAATCAGATATGTACCATAGATGAAAGCATTGTTACAAGTAATTTTTTTTTCCTTTTATATATGTTTGTTCAATTTTACACACTCATGTCGGTGGTATCAGCACCCGAGAATCTCCAAGCGCTCGCGGCGTCGAGGTCGATAGGGCAGTTGTCGTTCACGGTTATATCATCGCCTAGCTGAATGACAGCAGAGTGAAGGCCAGTTGTGAGCTTGATGGCGGGTTTGCCTGCATAGTAGAGCTTTGGTGAGGTAGTGGTGTCGTTGTTTATTTGACGAATTATGTTCCCCACTGCAAATTCAGCTTGAGCCCATCCAGTGTGCCCGGCGTGAAGAGCCCCGTAAGCATCAGCAGCGTCACCAATCACGTAGATATGTGGATATGCAGATGGGGAGAGGGTGGAGTCTGATTCAGACATGCTCTTGCGTATGTCGATGGATGCTGGGTTGGTTGATGTGTGAGAGTTTATGTGAGTGTCTGCAAGGGCTTCTGTGACTGCGTCTGTAGTTGCTTCTGTGCCTTCTTTTGCTCTCTGCAAGTTAGCCAATTGCATTGATCTCGTAACTTTTGCGAGGTTTGTAGCGGGGTCAATAGACGATGGAGAGAGTTGTTTGAGAAGGTCAGTGTTTGGTCTTTGACCGGTGCACATGAGCTATGAAATGAGTTAGAAAGGTGTGTACATACGCTCCTACGCCAACTCACCACCAAATCACATTCAATTCTTCTGCCACTTCTTGTGAAGACTCGCTTCTGCTCAACATGACCATCAAAATCGAGAGTCGCGTTATTTAGTTCTATACGATCTTCCAAAACACAATCGACGCCCAATTTGATTAAGGACTCCATAATAATATCGTGCATTTGAGGATCAAAGCGTGGAAGCAGTCTGTTGCGTGAGTGGATTAAAGTGACATCTTTGGTTGGATATGTGTTTTTGATGTCGCTAGCGAGTTGAATACCGAGAGCACCACCACCTGCGATAACGATTCTGTTGTTGTTCTCAATAACGCGTTGACGGTGTTCAAGCCAGTTTGTTCCGCTCTGTTTTGTACCAGATTGAAGTGTTTTAGAGTCCATTTCTAAAGAGCGTGGCATAATTGAGCCGAGTGCATATACGAGATACTCGAATTGAACTTCGTCATTCAAACCAAACTCAGGGAACCCCCTACTAAGCTTTATAGAGTTTGAATTTATTTTTTCAACTGAGGCGTGTAGAATGAGGTGGTCACTGCCATGAGTTGGATTCTGAGGACCACTGTTAAGAAGGATATTTGAAGTGCTGTCTACCCTATGTAAATCACTCAAGTGTGGTCTACTAAGTGGATTACCCTTCAAACTTCTACTCTCCTCGGAAGCGCTATCTGTCTTCTTATTATCGAACTTAGCGTAAGGGATGAACGCTTTGTGCTGATGTCCCTTTACAACCGCATATCTTGGAAATACGTATAAGTGATTATGGTGGCTATTCCTGTCGACCAAGATTACTCTGTGAGTTGGTGGCAATTGCTGGGATAGAAGCCTTGCTGCTCTTCCACCTGCATAGCTACCACCAAGTACAAGTACATTCTTCATTTCCCTCAAATCGCTCATGGCTGATCACTCCCAAAAACGCGCGATCTTTATCAAAAAATTATCAAAAATTATCGGATTTATCAATCGGACGAAAATGGAATGTAAAATAAAAAATCAAGTTTATAAAATTATTTGGTTAAATAAAGTGAGTCTAGGCTATCTGTTTTTATCCTTTTCCATCTCCCCCCTTAATTCAGCCACTGAGTTTAAATATGACGTGGCTGCGAACGTAGATATCGCAACGAGCGAGAGATGATTTGGCTTGAAGTTTGTCAACTTGGATGTTAAAGATGCTGTCTCTACCCTTAACATTCCACTTAACTTCCCATACATTGCCACTTACTCACTATCACACTTGTCGAAACAGAGTAAATAAGGTTTCTATACTTTATGTTCTAGCCCGGATTAGAATAAGAAACCCAACGGTATCCACTCACTGATTTTGATTCTCCAAGTCTATCAAGATACCCGCTCATTAACACTTCCAACAAGCGATAACGCAATAACGATAATACAAGGCAAATGTCATCTGAAAACTTTGACCAAATTGTCAGACTGTCTACTCTATTAAATTGCAACTACGAGCTTTCAATTGAGGTGGCTGAGATCGACAATAGAATCTCAACTAACACCAGACACTTGAAATACAATAGACATCTCGATGATTTGAATAGAAGGGCATCTGTTTTGAATAGTAATATCAAACAGCTTCAAGAAAGATCTTCTGATCTCTCAAATTCTATCCAAAGAAGACGTACAAGTCTCATTAAGAGAAGACGTCATTTGTGTGCTCTTCAGGAAGCTGAAAATAGTCAAAGTATACCCAAGGACACTCCCTCACAAAAAATCAATCACCTGTCACCAAAAGCTGCCCGTTCTCATCTCCTCAACCACCTCATCTCACTTTTTCCTATCTTGAATACCGACGACTCTTTCACTTTCTCAATCTTAGGGCTTGAATTAGAGAACCCTAATCCCATAATATCCAGTTCTGCATTAGGTTACACTTCTTTGCTTACTCAAATCCTCAGTAGCTACCTCAACATCCACCTCCCCTACCAAATCGTGTATAAAGGCAGCCACTCCTACATTATAGACAGTATATCCAACATAAGAGGCAACAACTCTTTCCCACTCCACTATAACCTCAAAAATGATCATCGATATAGACTCGAATATGCTATATACCTATTCAACAAGAATATTCAAGTTGTGCGTGGGCTTTTACTCAGCTTGCAACACATCACTCACACTGCACACACAGCTCATGCTATCTTACGACCTACCACTACCCGAACTAGGTCACATACTCGCTAACATGAAAAATTTGCTATTGATATTAAGTAGTTAGTACATTTGTTTAGATGGTTTAGTCATATACACGCTATTGAAAGCGATAAATTTAGTAGTTATGCGCTTAGTTGTTGGTTGTTGGTGGATATTTTGTATCACTTTGTTGTGTATCCTGTACCGCGTTCGTATCCTTCACTTCCCATACCGTCCCTTTAGAACCCACACTGAATTCAAGATCTTCTCTTGTAATGGCATCATAGTATTTGTACACCATCATAACACTGAGCAGGTAGCAAAGTGTCTCGAAAAATAGTCCATCGATATAATGATCGACGGCATTACAAACCTTTACGCTAAACCCAAAGGTGACGACTGTACCAATAACGAAAAAGCCAACGCCGAATACGATATTAGTGATTGGCCATCTGTCATCCAGTGTCCGTATGACCAGTATGAGCTGAGTGATAACATAAATTCCTACGCAGATGATATGCAGGATAAATGTGAAGACGGAAATTGCGATAGGATTGCTGCGATCGAATCCAGGTACAGATTTGAACGTAGCGATGTGAACAAAGAAAGAGAGTGCGCCTAAGACAAATGAAGACACGCGCAGTGACCATACGCTCAACGCCGTCCCATCTTCAACCACCTGAAATCCAATAAAGCCGTTAACGAGCAGACACCAGAACATGGCTGTCGTCAGTCCCATATATATAGCAGTGAACCACGGATAAGCTTCGTGGTATGTTGGTATAATCGAGCTATCGAGAAAGAGAGCGATAAGTTCACAAACGCCGTAAAGATAGAAAAAAAGAGTTATTTCCTTGCGACCTAAAACAACCAAATCAGCCAATTTTCACTGGCACAAAATAGAGTAAACCCACCAATTGCGGTATACTTTGTGCGTATGTGATAGAGCATAATGGCAGTCATAAATATTGCCACTATATGAATGAAGCATGTCGCTGGTTGGAAGATGAGCGTGCCACCGATAACGACGTTGCGGGCGTAGCAGATAGGCTCGATACCCTCGTCGCTGCCGAGCATTGGACAGCTAACCATGGCGACATTCCTGCAGACGTCGTTGATTGATGAAGGCATGTGATGGTCGCCGTTCGAGATATGCCGCTGCTCCTGCGTCAGCACGGCCAACACACGGATTGATGGAAATAGAAATTAAAAATAAATTAAATTCACTGGAAGACGCTGAAGTGTCTTTGGATAATCTGATAGCCATGCAATCCAGCTCGTACAGCCAGCTTGATTTGGGCGATTTAGATAGGTTGTCGAATCAGCTCACTGCGTTTAGACGGAGCCTAAGTGGGAAGTTGATGTACGCAGAGGGCTTCCACGGAACATTGAGTGCACTTGATACGCAGCAGCAACGTCTCAGCGCTAGTCTCGACATGGTCAGGAAGACTGAGCTCCTGCAATCCTCGTTGCGCTTACTCGATATGGCAATCGATGAGCGTGACTATGACCAGGCCAGCTTATATGCACAGAGAGCGCTGAACATACCCCACTCAATAATCACCAGCCAATTCGCAGATACGGTCGTTCCTTCAACCCACCACCCAGAACCACCGCTGCAGCGATTGGACAACAGTCTAGACACCCTAAACGAAATCTTCATCTCTCACTTCAACCAAGCCAGCCAGTCACTAGACCAGGCTGAGATATCGCGCTTTTTCAAACTTTTCCCAAAAATTAACCGCAAGCAGGATGGTATAACTGCCTATTCATATTTCGTAGTCAAGCTGATTCAGCGCAAGTTTAAGGGTGGCATGGATAGTCTCGACAGTCTCAGAGCGCTCCTCGACAGCATAGCGAGTGTATTGGAAGATCACCAGCCAGTTGTGCACAAGTATTACGGAAGCGAGTATATGGTGACTGTGCTGCACAGTCTGCTGGCTGAACTGGATGACAAAGCCAACGTCATCTTTCTTAATTGGACTCGCAACTTGTCTACCTTAGAAAATGGCGAATTGAAGCATATCAATACGGAAATATCTCAACTCTCAGGTTTAGCTTCACACTGGGCTGCGTTCAAGCTATTTATCATGTCAAATTTGAATACAGACGATTCTATGAAACATATTCTCAGCTCATCCACCACTGCCCACCTACTCCGACAACACATTAATGATACCTATATTCCTTTAGAGATGGCACACTTTAAGTCCACCATGAAAGAAGCTCTAGAAGCTAATGAGATAGACGAAGATGCTCTTCCTTATACGTCCTCTATCCTTGAAGACACTTTTTACATTTACAAAGGATTACTTGATAGACTGGTAGGATGTGGAGATGTATCTGTGCTGAAGAATGCAGTCGATGGCATTATCAGGGTCTTCCAGCAGTCTTTCATCGAAAAGATGCAGATGGATTTTGACAACAACATCAAGCCCCGTACAAGCAAGATGATAGCACAGCAGTCGAAAGTTGGCGGTAGCACTGCTGGCAGTCGTAGCAAGGCGCTGAAAATTGCGGTGTGTCTGAACAACTTGGACATATGCTCCGAGTATAACATGCGCATACTGTCGGATTTACCCAAGGATAGCAATCTACACCGGTTTTACGACCCTGAGAATATTGCCCCAGTCAAAGATCAACTCCTCCGGCTAAAAGAGATATCCGACCACGTTCAAACCAGTTTGACTGTGGGTATTATGATTTCCTTCCATCCTCTTCGACTTGCTAACTTTAAATTATCAAGAGCTGCCTCAACACACTTTTTGCAACCACATTCAAAAACCCCATCAAAGACTGCCTCAAAACCTCAATGGACGTGACTAATTATGACAAGAACGCTGACGCACAATCTAAAGTGTTTGTGACAATGTTTGAGCGCGAGTGGAGTGCCGTGTTCGATAAATGGAATAATAGCCTCACTGCGAACAATTTTGACGAGGTGTTTATCAAGTCAACGACGCATCTGATCCAGCTATGGGAGAACTTCGTATTGAATTCTCACACTTTAAAATTCAGCGTTAGCGGTGCAATCCAATTCGAGAAGGATGTCTATGACCTGCTTGGTTATCTCAGTGGATTGTCGAACGTAGGAATCAGAGAGCTGTTTAGTCGCATAAGACAAATAAGCTCCGTTCTTAATGAGCAAGGAAGTAGCACCTCAAGAAATTATTGGAAACTAACCGCGAGCGAGATTTCTACACTAAAATCAATGAAGCTAGCGAATGATAGCCTTTGATTTATTTATTTATTTTTGCTATACCAATTATCTTGTACATTGCATGGATTTCAAAAGCATTATTGAGTCGTAGTTGACCGCTGACCTCCAACCTGAACCTGACAAGACCTCAATCAGTATCCTCTGTGGTCATAAACGCCTTGTTTTTGCAATTCTCTCCACATAATTAGTTCGGCTATTAAAAAGTCTTCCAATTCCGGCAGCGGATAAACAATTCGACGATTGTTTCGCTTTTAGTGTTAAGGTTTGGGCTTGTCTTAGCTTAGGCTATGAGGAATGGCTTTGTACACAGCTAAACAGATAGATAGAAGTGAATGTAATTCGTTAAGATACAATAGAAAAGTAGTGAGGCTTTTATATGTGTGCCGTGTGAAGCATCGGAGGCTAAGCCGGCAGGGCGGTGTGAATGTGCGGCGAAGTATCTGGTTAGGTGAACAAGCATTTAATTATTGTCGATACAATTACCAAAAATCTTTAAAAATAAAAAGTTAAAAATAATAATTTCTTGATGTAATCGTTGTCTAGAATTCGAAATAGGCTGCCCTAGCACGAATAAGCCCGAGTGAGATAGTTCGAGATAGCATCTCAAAGTGCGGAACTACCTGACGCCACTTCTTGAAGACATCGCGCGAAGTATCCGTAAGATAACCACCGGCAGTGATCAACAATGGCACAAACGGTGTATCCGTCTTACCTTGGTAACGATTGTACTTTTCTCGCTCATAAAAGCTGAGCTCCTCAGGTTAGCAAGCATTTAATTATTGTCGATACAATTTGTCTTATTTCTAAAATATTTTAAAGTAGAAAAGTAAAAAGTTCACGATACCGTCACTAAACTTGATGCGCCTAGAACTCGAAATAAGCCGCCCGAGATCTTATGAGCCCGAGTGAAATAAGCCGAGTCAGCATCTCGTAATGAGGAATTACCATCCGCCAACGCTTGAAGACATCCTTAGCTGTGTCTGTAAGGTAGCCACCACTGGACATAATCAGGGGAACGAAAGGTGATGACGTCCTGTGTGAGTACCTATTTACCTTCTCCCTTTCATAAAAAGCCAACTCTGCCTTGTACCTGTCCTCAGCACATTTGTTTTCCACCTCACCACGCGCAGCCTTGACACTTGCAGTCGGAGCTATGATAGCCAAATCATACTCCGAGGAGCCACCCGTGCTCGAAGCCATTCCTGAAACACGAAAGTCCGTTCGTGCTGAAGTCCCCTCGATCATCGGCTCAGTGGTGGTTGTGCTATTGGGAGCCGATGAAATGAAGCGAGTCAGCAGACGCTTGATGAATTCGTGCCGTGCCAGGCGAAGATTAGTACGAGAATTGCAGAGGTCGTCATGACCAACTACATTCTCCAAACCGCACTTGCAAAAAGCTTGGCTTCCTGGGCATAAGGTACGTGAGTGAAGGGCGAAAGAAATCTCATTGTCTGAGAAGCGGAGAGACTTGTTGAAGGGTAGAGTAGTCATCCACTTCCTACCGAGCTTGGATTGATTGTCCAACATGATATTCTGTTCCTCTCTCGACAGTGTGCTAAACGTATTTGAGAATTCTGCCTCAAAGAACGCACTCGTACGCTGCCGTTGGAGTACTGGAGCATCATCATAATCCACGATTGCATCCGGGTGGAAAATCTCTTGCAGCTTCCGATCTGCTGCCTCCTCCATAGATCTGTAGGCCAAGGGCGCGATGCTTGCATGCGAGGGTAGACCCAGACCTCCATAGCGAAGAGGCATTCCGAATATCCATCCGTCCAAGTCTCTCTGCCTGGGTGAGCCTCTCAATCTACGCAC